ACCCACAGGAATGGGGGAACAGACCCCAACACGCTCACCTCCAGAGCCAGCCACCCGCAGGTCATTGCTGTTGCCTTCATAGGTGAACAGAGCCCTAAAATTAAGGCAGAAAGGGGATTTTTAGCCAGTTTTATCCAGCACGGTGCCCATATGGGGTGTCCACACACCCCCAACACCTCCTGAAGCTCAGAGCCCCACAGAGACCCCCACCCCACACGCTGCCCACCCCACAGCCCAGGGACTTACTGATCCCCCAAGACACCCCCACAGCCCTGATCCCCTCTATACACCTCACAGCTCCTCACACACACCCACAGCCCCCCTACACACCCCTGACCCCCTCATACTACCCACACCCCCATGCCTTCTATACATCCCACATGCCCCCCAAGCACCCCCACACTCCCTGACACTCCACATCCCCCCACAAGTCACTGGCCCGGCCCTAAATCTTCCCCCAGATCACCCATCCCCAGCCATCCGTTTCACTTCCACCCCTCCACCCCCTCCCCACCCCCTCCCACTCCCCCTTCATCCCCCATCCCCCACCCGAGCCATCCTCGGCCCTCTTGAACACACGCGGCCCCCAAACACCCCACAGACCCTCGCACACCCCCCGTCCCCCCACCTGCCCCCGTCACCCCCAAACATCCCCCCCAAACACCCCACAGCCCCCTCGCAACCCCCTCATCCCCCCCTGGCCTCCCCCCCGTCCCCCAGCCCCTCATCGCCCCCGATGTCCCGTCACGGCCCCCCGGTGTCCCCGCCGCCCCCTCACCAGTCCGTGGCGCTGCCCGGCGCCACCACGCTCCCGTAGGCCTCCTGCAGCGCCCGCCCGTTCTTGGCCAGGTTCAGCGCCATGGCCGCGCCCGCTCCGCCCGCCGGCAGCGCGGGCACCGCCCCGCCGGTGATACCGGCACCGCCCCGGGACCGCCTCCGGGACCGCCCCGCCGGTGATACCGGCACCGCCCCGGGACCGCCTCCGGGACCGCCCCGCCGGTGATACCGGCACCGCCCCCGGCACCACCCCCGGCACCGCCCCCGAGATCATCAACGGCACCGCCCCCGGCACCGCCCCCCGAGACTGGCACCGCCCCCGGCATCACCCTCGGCACGGCCCGGCCAGTGCTACCGGCATCTCCCCTGGGACCACCCCCGGGACCGCCCCCCGGCACCGGCACCGCCCCGCCGGTGCTACCGGCACCGCCCCACGGGTTCACCCCACGGAACCGCCCCCCGGGACGACTCTCGCCACCGCCCCCTCTCCTCCGGTGTCACCGGCACCTCCTGCCGCGCCTCACCGGCGGCCCCGCCCACAGACGGCCCTGCCCCGCCCCAGAGCCGTCAGACCGCGCCCCCGAGTCACCAGACCGCGCCCCTAGCTGCGACGCCACGCCCCCAAGAGCAGACCCCGCCCCTGAACTGACAGGCCCCGCCCCAGACCCCGGCGGGCGGCCCCGCCCCGCCCCGCGGAGTGTCCCCCCCCTCGCCCCCCCATCACCCCGCCCCCGCCGAGCCTCGGGGGTTGGTTTGGGACCCCTGTCCCAGCGCGGGTCACCCCCCCCACCTCACGGGGGCTCTTGGGGTCCCCTGTCACAGAGCAACTCTCGGGACCCCCCTCAGAGCTGTTCAGGGGGGTCCCATCCCCTCATCCCGGGTGTTCCTTGGGGTTCTCTGTCCCAGAGCAGCTCTAGGGGACCCCCACCCGAGTGACTCTTGGGGATCCCATTCCCGGGCGGTTCCGGGGGATCCTATCCCAGATCAATTTTCGGAGACTCTCATCCCATGGGGGTTTTCAGGGTCCCCCACCCTAAGGGCAGTTCTCAGGGACCTCCAGCCCGAGCTGTTCTGGGAGACCCGATCCCAGGTGGCTCTTGGGGTTCCCTGCCCCAGTGCAGCCCCGGGGGTCCCCGCATCCCACACAGCCATCCCTGGTCCCCGTACCCCGTAATGTACTCCCTAACGCAGCCCCTCTGTGGAGAAAATCGGCAGTTCCGGGGATTTCTCCCATTTTTCATCCTGAGGAGGGTACACCTGGGGTGGACACACCTGGGGTGACTTCAGGTGCCGGACCTCGGATCCTGGAGCTTTTTGGGGTGCAAATGCGTCTCAGTTTTACCCCGTATCATCAAAATTCTGCACCCCCCAGCAGGGATGCTGCTCCTCCCCGTGGCGATGACCTGCACGAAGAGGTGTCCAGCGGGGCAGGAGGTGACCGGGGGGTGGGGAGAGGTGTCCGGGAGGGGCAGGATGTGACCGGAGGGGGGGGACACACAGGAGGTGACCTGGTGCGGGAGGGACAGAAGGTGACCCTCGCCCGGGGGTGTCCCCAGCATGTGCTAATGGGCCATTAGCAGTTCCCCAGCTGCCAACATCTGGCTGGAGCGGCGCTGCCCCGCGCGGCGAGCGATGTGCTCGGGGGATTTGGGAGTGGCCTTTCTCTCCCCCGAGCCTTCCTTCACATTCGGGGTTACCCAAAATTTGGGCGAGCAGCAGGGAAGCGGAGGTGGAGGGGCTCTCCCAAAACTCCTTTGGTGTCTCACCCCCACCCTGCCGGGCTCGGGGGGCCACGGGGAGAACAACCCACCCATGAGACACCACTGTCACCCAGAGGGAAAATAACGGGGGACCGAGCTCCCCCTACCCCAGGAGGGTGAGGTGGAGTTTAAGAAGCCCCCCTGCCCCCCCATTTGTCCCCAGTGACAGTGATGGTGACAGGGCTGTGCCGGGATTTTCCTCCTTGGGGCTTCAGGCTTTGGTTTAGGGGGGTTGGAGGGATGTGGGGGTCCCCTCCGTGCCCCCAGTCTCCAGTGAAAAATGTGTCTGGGAGAGTGGGATGGGAGATGGTGAATGGGGTGGTCCTGGGGTGCCTGAGGGTCCTGCAATGGTCAAGAGTCCCAGGGCAGCTGAGTGTCCTGGGGTGGCTGACAGTCCTGGGCCAGATGACGATCCCAGAGTGTCCAAAATTCCTGGGGTGTTCAAGGGTCCCAGAGTGGCCAAAGGTCCTGGGGTAGGTGTTGGGTCACTGTAGCCAAGGGGCCTGAGTACCTGAGGGTCCCAGAGTGTCCAGGCTTCCTGAGGTGGCCATGGGTGCAGGAACAGCAGAGACTCCTGGGGTTGTTGAGCTCCTGTGGTGGCTGAAGGTCCTGGGGTGTCTGATGGTCCCACCTTAGACCCCCCAACCCCCTCCATCCCACAGATTCCCCATCCATCCATCCCATCATCACTCCAAGAGCACCAAACACCACCTAACGTCACCTCAAAACCCATTTTAGAGGCTCTCCTGGGTTTATAGGACTGTCAAAAATGTTGGGAAACAGCCCAGAACTACAGTGCTGGTGGTGCCCGTGTTATGACTTGGGGACCTGCAAGGCTGGGAGTCGCTGGGGAGTGCTGGGTGACATGGGACATTCATGCCAATGCCAGGAACCAGTCATGTCCTCATTCCTCGAGGGCTCATCCCACGTTATTTATGGGGAACCTGGGCAAAAGTAACGCTTAAGGTAATAATTTATATTTTTTAGCATCCTGGGGCGCACACAGCTCCCTCAGACACATCCACACCCCACGTGGGAAGGGGACCCCACCACATGTTCCCCTAACCATGGAGCTATTTAGGAAGAAGGGGTAGACGTGAGCTCCCCATTCAGCACACGGCTAGAATGGCTGGAAATGTTAATTAAACACAGGGTAATAAAACATCTGGAGGGCTGGGAGCAGGGAAGGGCCAGCCGGCACGACCCCCCGCAGCTGCCTCCTGCTTTTCCTTGGGAATCTTGGGCAGGGGGGACTGGGGTCACCAGCGATTTGGATGGTACAAAAGCCTTTTCATGGAGTATTTCAGGCAAAGCAACTGAAGAACCTTTGTGGAGCAGAGCAGAGCGGCTGCCGGGGGGGGTGGTGGAGCCTGGTGGCCCCGGGGGTTTGGGGACGGGAGGTTGGGGTTCACAGCCAGGCTGTGGGTGATGGAGTGAGACGAAGACAATGGTTTGGAGGTGCTGGATGAAGCCCCATTGGGTGCCACCCCAGCAGCCCTGTGGATGCCCATTACGGGGAAACCAGCCCACTGCGTAAAAAAAAAAGGGGTAAAAAGGTTTTTCCAGTGGGTCTGTCCTGCAGGATGGCTGGTCTCGCCATGGTAGGACCCTGCTCCTGCCTTGGGGAGGGATGGGGAACCCCCTCTGAGCATCCCCTGGGGAGGGGGACAGGGACATTGGGGTGAACTGGGGACTCTCCAGTGTGGTGGGACACACGGGTGGGATGGGGACACCCTGATGGGATGGGAACAACCTGGGGGGTCAGGGTTACCCTGGGCGGGATGAGGGTTCTCCTGCTACACGGAGGCACCCAAATGCAATAGGGGCACCCCAGCAGGACAGGGATGATGAGATGGGGTGGGGGGCACCCTGGGTGGGATGGGGGCACTCAGGAGGGTGAAGGCAACTAAATAGGATGGGGGGGGTACGGACAACTTCAGCAGGGTGGGAGCACCCAGATGGGAGGGATCACCGTGGGAGGGATCAGGGACCTGCATGGGATAGGGGAACTCTGGGCACGATGGGGGGACCAGGGCAGGATGGGGGGGGGGGGGGGAAGACGGAATGTGGCGGACCATGGATGCACTGAAAGCACTCGGATGGGAAGTGACCCCATGGATGGGACGGGGGAGACCCTAGCTGGGACACCCTGGATAGGGCAGAGGACCTCTGGCTGGAATGAGGGCTGCCCGGATGGGATGGGGGGACCCCGCACGGAACGGGGGACCCCGAACTTGCAGGGAGCGCCGGGCACGGCGAGACCGGCCGGCGCCCCGTGGGCGCCCCATGGGCGGCGGGGCCGCTCCGCCGGCGGGGCCGGTGCGGGGCCGGTGCGGAGTCGGCGGCGGGACCCGTGCGGGGCCGGCGGGGCGGTGCGAGCCCCTGCCCGGCCCCCGGTGTCGGTTTGCATCCCGGCTCCTCCCCGCCCCGCCGCCCCGCGCATTCCCGACCCTCCGGGCGGCGGCGGCGGCGGCGGCGGGGCCCGGCGGGGCCGGGGCGGGACCCCACGATGCCGCAGCTGGAACCGACGGGGGGGGACGACCTGGGGGCTCCCGACGAGCTCATCGCCTTCCAGGACGAGGGCGAGGAGCAGGACAAGGGCGCGGGGCGCGGCTCGGCCCACGGGGACCTGGACGAGCTCAAGTCCTCGCTGGTCAGCGAAACCGAGAACCGCGGGGGCCCCGGCCCCGGGGGCGGCCCCGGCCCCGAGGTGAGGCGGGGGGCGGCGGGAAGCCGGGGGGACGCGCCCCCCGCCCGGCCCCGCTCCGCTCACCGCCTCTCCCCGCAGGCGGAGCGGCCCCCGCCGCCCCGGGAAAGTTTCCAGAAGCCGCGGGACTCTCTGGCAGAAGGTACTGGACCCCCCCCCGGCGCCCCCCTTCCCCTCCCGCTCCCCGCTGCATCCCCCTGGACCAGCCGACACCTCCCAACTTCTTTGTTTCCGCCCCCGGCTGCGGGCGGGACCCCCCATGTGTCCCCCCCCCCCGGTCTCCCCTCGTGTGTCTCCCGGTTCCCCCCCCCCGTGTCCCCCTCCCCGTGTACTCACCCTCCCATATATCGCCCCCGTGTCCCCCTGCTCCACCCTGTGTGCCACCCCCGTGTCCCCCTAATTCCGACCCCCGTGTTCCTCTCCCTGGTGGCCTCAACACCCTGTGCCCACCCCGTGTCCCCGTAATTCCCCCTCCATGTCCTCACTTCCCCCCCCCGTGTGTCCCCCCCGCCGTGTCCCCCAAATTTAGCCCCCGTGTCCCTTCCCCCGTGTCGTGTCCCCCCTCCCACCCCACCGGCCCCCGGTCCCCGGTCCCGCCCCTCCGCCCCGGTTACCGGCCCCAGTCGCTCCCCTACGGGTGGATCGGTGCCCCCCCGTCCCACGGAGGAGCCGGGATCGGTTCCCCCCCCCAGCTGGGTCCTTTCTGGGAGTGACCAGCACCGGGACCCTCTGCCCCCCGGGACCCCCCGTGCAGCCGAGATCCCTCTCCCGCGGCCACCCAGCAGCAGGGACTCCCCGAGAACCACCAAGGACACCCCCGAGAGACTTGGGCACCCCGAGAGGGACCTATCCGGGCCCCTACCAAGTCGGGACACCCCCCCTGCCTCCCCGAAGAACCAAGGACCCCTAAGGGACTTGGACACCCCTAGAGGGACCTACCCAGGTCCCCCCAAGTGGGGACCTCCCTAGAAAAATCAAGGACACCCCCCAAGGGACTTGGACCCCCAAAGCGACTCGGGCACCCGCAGAGGGACCTTACTCACGGCTTCCCACGTGCGGACCATCCCCCGGGAATACCAAGGACTCCCACAAAGTGACTTGGGCACCCCAGAGAGACCTGCCTAGGACCCCCTACAAGTGGAAACAACTCCCCCAGAAGAAGAAAGGACCCCCCAGAAGGACACTGGGCACTCGGCACCCCCAGAAGGACCTACCCGCCCCCCCTAAATGGGGACCCCCCCGCGAAGAACCAAGGACATCCCAAGGGACTTTGGCATTCCCAGAGGGACCTCCCCAGGCCCCACCATGCACCCTGCCTTGCCTCCCTCCATGGGTGCCCCCCCCACCCCTCTGCCTCCTGACCTCCCCTTTCCTTCTCTCCCCAGTGGTCAGACGACAACAAGATGGGGTTTTTTTTAAGGGCCCCCCCTATCCCGGCTACCCCTTCCTGATGCTCCCCGAGTTGGGTAGCCCCTACCTCGCCAACGGAGCCCTCTCCCCCGGCGGCGCCCGCACCGTAAGTGCCCCCCCAGGCCCCCTCCTAACACCTCTCTACCACCTTTTGGGGATGCTCAGACCCCCCCCAAGCCTCACAGCCCGTCCCGCAGGAAAACGACCACGTGGTGCTAAATAAACCCCCCAAGAAATTAGGGTTATTCCCTTCACTTAACCCCTTTGGGGTGGGAGGGGTGGGGAGTTTGGGGGGGGCCTCACCCCGGGAGATCCGCCCCGAAACCTGACCCTGAGCTGCCGCTTTTCTCATTTAAAAGGGTTTTAAAGCCGTTAATGGGCCGACATTCTCCCGTGTGGGGAGAAGTGATTAAGCAAATTGAGCGAGAATTTCGGGGGGAGGAGGGGGGGATGGAGAGGGGGACTCACACGCTCCTGTCCCAGCAGTGTCCCTCGATCCCCAAACCATCCCATTCACGTTCCTGGGCAGTACCCTAAAGTAATTTTAGGGATATAAAGGTGTTTTAGGTGTATAAAGGTATATAAGGTGTTCCCTACCTTGTATGAGGCCCTTCCCTGCCTCAGTTTCCCCTCCTGGTGCCATCCTGGGATGGGGGGGGGGGGACACAGACAGAATTCTCAGCCCCCTGGGGGGTCCTCAGCCTTCTGGGAGGGATGGGGACTCCGGCTGTGGTACCCACTGCATCCTGGGCTGGAGCATCACAGCCCATTCCTGAATTGTCCAGGGGTATTTCTTGCTCCGGCGATGCTTTTCCACATATTGTTTCCCCAGTATCCATAGGAAACCACGTTCCCATATGGGATATATATGGGATAACAACAGTTGTGGCATTTATAACGGTTTGAAATCCCAGAATCCAGCTAGTGTCGCGTGGAGAGTTTTCTGTATTTTTAGGGTTTTCCTACTTTTGCTTTCCTGGAAGCAACTGGTTGGGGTGGCCGTGGAGCTCAAATCCCGGGATTGGGAGGGTGGATTAGCTAATTATCACGGTGTTTGGCCGGTGGCTGGATAAAGGTTGTATTCTCAATTTGTCACTTTTAGGATTATGAGGTTTTGGGGATGATGCACCTCTGGCCGCGATGCCAAACACTGGCGAGGAATCCGGGATAATGAGAAGGGATTGGTGTTGGGATCCGTCACAAGCAGCCACTAATGATGATTTAATGAATCCCAGAAAGGGGATTAATTAACAGGGGCTGGAGTGCCTCCCGGATGTTTTGGAGGGATGAGTGGGGTTGGGAAAGTGCAGATTGGGGCTGAATCCTGACTGATTGGGGCCTCTTCGTGGAGCCAAGTGAGTGAGGGTTATCAGGGAGGGAGGGCAAACTGGGGGTAGTGGGGGGGCTGGTGAATGTTGTGGCACCGCCGGGTGAGGCCGGGCTGGACCCCTCGGGCACTGAGAGGGGCCGAGCTCTGTGCCAGTCACAAGCCCCCTGTCCATGGGCTCCCACCGGAGCAGAGGTGCCCTGGATCCCAGGACTGAACCCTGGACGTTGTCATGCTGCTGAGGCTGGGTGGGATCTGGCTGGGCACAGCATCCCCAGTGCCACATCAGATCCATCTGGGCACAGCATCCTCGATGCCATTCTGGTTCTGGCCAGGCACAGCATCCGCAATCCTGTGCTGGCTCTGGCAGGACAGAGGTCCTGCACTGCATCAGACCAAGCTCATCATCCTTGATCCCATACTGGATCCCGGCAGGTAGAAGATCCCCAATCTCGTTCTAGATCTGGCAGGACAGAATGTCCTCAACCCTGTACTGAATCCAGGCAGGCACAGCATCCTTGACCCTACACTGGATCCTTTTGGGTGCAGCATCCTCAGTCCCACAGCGGATCCAGTCAGTGCAGCATCCTCAATCCCAAACCAGATCCTGATGGGCATGACATCCTTGACCTCATACTTAATCTGGCCAGGCTCAGCATCCTTGATCCTATACCAGATCCACCTGGGCACAGCATCCCTGATTCCACATTGAATCCAGCCAGGCACAACATTCTTGATCCCATAGTGGATCCAACTGGGCTCAGAATCCTCCATCTTGTACCAGATCAATCCAGACACAGCAACCCCAATCCTGTGCCGGAGACATCCAGGCACAGCCTTCCCGATCCTCTGTTGGATCCGTGTGGATGCACCTCTCCAATTCCACGCTGGATCCAGCCGGGTGCAGCATCCCCACATCCCCACGTGAAGCGTCGCCCGAGGGCACCGAGCTCACGGAGCCAAACCCGCCACCCGTCTGCATCCCGGGAGGCTGCGGACGAGCCCGGACACGCGGAGCGCCGGGGTGGCAGGAGGCACAGGCTGCACTGGGAGCTCTTCTTCCATTTCCTTCTTTTCTCACCCCAGCCTTGGAGGAAATGAGCTGATCTGCAGGATCCCGGTGGTGGTGGTGGCGTCCCGTCCTCACGTCCTGCAGCCAAGAGCTGTGGATCGAACTGCACGGAAAGGGGAGATTTTGGGGGAAAAAAACCCACACCCCAAATAATCTCTGTGGCCAGGAGATGCTCTGAGGAGATGGCCAGGAAGGTGATGGATCCTGGGCACAGATGTATCCATGGGTTCAATCTGACGGCAGCCAAACCACTTGAGCACTTTTTTTGAATACTGGGTAGGGAAGCACTGCTTTCACAGCTCTTCACTATGAAGTCTTTAGGAATCTGGGAAATTGATGGAAATATGAGAAATATTTGGGAATCTGGATACACAGTGCCTTCCTGCACCCCAGACTGGGAGAAGGCCCGTCCTTGTGCCAACCCCCCAACAGATGGATGCTCCTGCCCTTCGTCTGGGTGTATTCACTTTGCTCCTGGGTTATTTCCAAACAGAATCCTGAAATTTGGCAAGTGGCCACCCACCCCAGTATCACTTCCCTGGCAATTTCTGTCTGGGGGGTATTTCTGGGGCTCCACTCAGACGGTGAAGGAATTTGTTGGAACCTACTGATGGCATTGGTGTTTGGAGCAGCGTTTCAGCCCAGTTTTCCCCAGGGGGAATCAGGAATTGGGGACCCCTGAGCCTGTGTTTGGCTCCTTGGGATCATTCCCAATGACACAAAGGTCTCCAAGGTGGGATGGAAGGGAAAACTCTGGACATGCATGAACTGGATGGATGCAAATCTCTGTTGCCACCACACTGGATCCATTCCATCAGGATCATGTGGAGTTGATGGGTTTTATCCCAAACCCAGAATTAGCCGGATCCATACAGGGGTAAAATCTCATCCCAGCATGGGAATCTCATCCAGCTTGGGAAGGGGATGGGAACCAGGCATGGCACTGCCATAGAGGCGAAGCTGAGACCGTGCACAGGATTGGCATTATTCCCAAAATAAACCAGTTTAACCCCAGGAATTCGAGTCTGGAGGCGAGGATTTAAATAAATCCAACCCTTCCTCAGGCATGGAATTCCATCCAAATAGCTCTGCCATGCCTGTGTAATTAATGCACCTTCATGTAATTAATGAGCCTTGGCGGGCTGTGATCCCAAAATAAATGAGGGAAAAATCCGTAACCTGGGCTTATTTCGGCTTTTTTTTGCACCATTCCTGTTATGAATTCCCGAGGATACAGAGCTGTATCTGTCTCCTAAAGAAAATAGATCCTTAACTGCACTGCTGCCAAGGAAAATGATTAAAATACAGATTTTTGGCAGGGAAAAGGGTTGCTCCGAAAACTGGGCGGGTCTTGCTGGCAGCTCTGGCAGAGCGTGGAGGGTTTTGGTGTTGGGATGTGGATGGAAGTGTCGGGATGGGGGGGGTTTCTGGCTCGGGGGGGCTCATTCAATGCTCTGCGTCTCTGGACTGTGGCAGTTCTTCCTTCCTCCTGCACCGGTTTGGGATTTGCTGGTTTATTTAGGATTTACCTCCCCCATCAGTGCCGCCTTCCTTCCCCACCTGGAAAATATTAAGGAAAAGAAGGATTTTTTCACACTTTTTGGCTTCTCCGTGTTGCTCTGTGCAGCTGCTGGGTTAATCCAATCCTTGCCGGCTCTGAACCCTCCCCGTGCCTCAGTTTCCCCACTCCCAGACTCTCCCGCCGCTGCACACAATGGCCCCTTTATCCCGCTCCTTAATTATGCTCTTCGGCTAATTACCCTGCGGGCGGGGTTTGTAGGGCTTAAATGAGACCTACAGGAGGACTTCCCCCCCCAATTCTCCCTCCTCCCTCTCTTTTCCAACACGATTCCCAAATTAAAGCGATGAAGTAAGTGCTCGGGGCGCCTCTGCTCAGCCCTGGGATTGTTCCGGGACTGAGGCGCATTCATCATCCTTCTGGAATTCCCAGCAGCTGCTTTTCATTAGTTTTCCTTCCTTGAAGTCGCTGGCGGGAGCTTGGGAGGGAAGAGGAACCCGGGGGAAGTGCTTGGTGCATCCCGGATGGAGGAAGAGGAGGGATGAGGGAAGGGGGGGGGTCGGAATCGTGTTGTTTTCCGTCTTTCTCTGTGTTCGTGTCAGGGTTTTGGGAGGAAAGGGGACGGTGTGGGGGAAGGTCCGAGGAGGAGGGGGAGGGGGTGATGGTGATGTGCGGCTTCACAGTTTGCACTGGTGGTGTTTTCTGGCAACGATGTCACTCTGTGCCTTCACCCCGGGGATCCCGCAGCCCTGGGGATCCCAGAGCCCTGGGAATCCTACAGCTCTGAGGATCCCATCCAGAGCCTCGGGCAGAGGGCAGGAGGGGTCGGCAGGCTGTGCTGGCTGTGCTGGCTGTGCTGGTGTCCCATGGGGGCTGCCGGGGGGTACAGGACCCCCTGGAGTCCCATGGCAGCTGTGCCCCCCAATGCCCAGGATGGTCGGGGGGGCTTTGGGGCAGTGGGACTGTTGGTGGCGGGGCAGGCTGAGCCTGTTGTTCCCGCCGGGATCCCCCATGCGGATGCAGCGGGATGAATGGATCCATTGAGGCCGGGGCCGGGAGCTGCAGACAAAAGCCACGGGGGGACTTGGGGCCACGGGGTTTGGGGAGCTGGGAGGGGGGGCGGGGAGTGGGGAGCCCAGCAGGCACTGAGCCCATCCTGCTCCAGGGCTGGTGTGTGTGTTAGGGGTG